TTGATTATCTGCGGTGTCCAGATGTTCTAGAACAATTCATTTCAAGAAAATAATTGGATACATGATACACGTATGTAGCAGATACTTTTATTTTGAAATTTTAGTTTTTTTCAGTAATTTCGTTCATTTTTTAGTACATATTTATTTATAACTTTTTGAGTTGTAAGTAATTCAAAATATTATTTCAAAGAATTATATTATGTTCAATGCAATACTCACAATTTAACAGGTATACAAAAATTGAAAGTATAATTTAACATAATCTCAGTTTATATAGTCTTGTATACCTATATTAAAAATGAATAGCGTAAACCTAAGATCTGTAATGATGTTGCTCGCCGATAAAAATCATCTCCAATTAGTCATTCTCATTTAAGTTTTTAATCTTAAAATTATTAAACTTTCTTAAATATCAAAATATATATTAAATTGATTTTTTAAATAAAACTAAAATTTTAAAATGGTTATTGTGAGGTTACAAGTAAATGTTAGAAAATATTTTGAGCCCTTTTAGGCCCCTAATTTTTCAATAAATTTGATTAGTTCTGCAAGAAATTTGATGGGCTTTCGACAAATACGTGTAATGTAATTTATTTAGATAATATACTGTGTAGTGTGAATCTCAATGTATATACTTATGAGTTATGGTCAGTTACTTGACTTTATTTACAGTTCAATTTTAGAATTAATTCGTGAATTTCAACTTTACCTAGATAAAAACACGATAAATTTTTTTGTATTTTTAAATGATACTGCAAAACAATTTTAACCTTATGATTGTATGGTTGGCAGCAAAATACATTTTGATTATACATTTAACTTAAAAAAATATTATACCACCTATAAGCCATAACTTAATTGTTATGACACTACAATATTAGGATATTAATTAAGCCTGGATACGAATAAATCAAATCTAATTGAGTATATGAATGAACTACAAAAAATACCATTTATTGTGGAAAGATTTTTTATTTTAAATACTCTCCTCAGTTCGGTGTTGCAGGTCAACATGGTCACACGTATGTGTGATTGCCCACTCCGTTATCACTTGTTTTAATTATGCAAACAGTTTAAGGGTTTCACTCTATTGAACGCGTTTTCTCCAAAAATGGATAACATCACCTCTCCGAAAATGTCTAAACCGAAACGTTCGCAGCCATCATCTCCCAATTCACCTATCCAAACGGGACAAAAAAAAAACCAAGCCATTTGTTTCGCAAAATAAACTTGTTATCCTGGCGAACGATGTGGGTAGTGAAATCAAATGCTGACTCTTCTTGAGATACTTCTAATATAATCGACGAATCTACAACTCATCAACAACAGGGTTCCACCAATCTATGTCCAGAACATAATCAACTACTCCACTTTCAAAAAAAGTTGCTTCAAAGTTCAAATCGAAGGCCCTAACGAGTTTACGTGCAAGTCTAAATCTTCTTTTCTGATTGTTCGTCCTCAAGGTCGCCAAATATTTAACGTAATCACACAACACCTAATGGCCACCAGGCACCAGTGCCTATTTTCACACCTTCAAGCTGCCAACATATCGACCTTTCAAGTCCATTATCAGAATTCTACACCACTCAACACTTATCTCTGATATATCTGACGTACTTTCAGAGTTGGGTCACTCCACCAGGCGTGTCATGAATATCATAAAAACGACCAACAGTGCCCGTTGTTTCTCGTGGAATTACATCCCAATACCAACAATAAAGAAATTCTAAATCTTTTATCAATTTTGCGAACCAAAATCAAAGTCGATATAACCCCTATAGGACCAAAAATGGTCCACCTCAGGGTCGTAACTGCCATGGACACAACTGTGCTATGGACACACCGCAAACTATTGCAGCCAATATCCATCATGCTGTGTTAAATGTGGGGTGAACACTCCTCAGACATTTGCACTAAAGACAGAAAGTAGTCCAGCCAAATGTGCCTTTTGCATAGGCATCATACCTCCGGCTACAAAGGATGTCCAATATTCAAAGAACTTCTTAGACATCGCAAATCAACTCAAACAAAACCACCTAATTCGAATACAGTATTCACGTCCCCTCATCTCAAAACTCTTTTTCACATTCTCAGAGCTTTCTTCACCCCGTCGCCGATTTCAACAATATCCTTTACCTAATTGCCACTGCAGTAACAATAAGTCATTTACTAAATTTATCTCAGAACTATCCGCATTAATAAATCCATACTCACTGTGCTCCTTGCAGCTGTTCTAAATAAACAACGCTTATTCCATAGTCCAAACATTATTCATACCTCATTAACTATATGAATACAATATTTTTAACCACTGTATAGGTATTATGTTTTCTGTAACTCGTTCATTTCGTGGGTCTTCAATCCATAGTTATCTGTACACTATTTTATATTACCTATCTAATATCTTACGTTCACTATTATTATTTTTTAATGTTTTCTATTTATCTTATGTACCTATTTATATTGAATAATTGTTGAGTTATAAGAGCAGTTAACCAGTAATTAAAATCATTTTTAGTTATTGAGTAGAATAGTGAATATAAACATATTATAGTGAATATATTATACTCCCTAAAAGGATTTTATCTTCACAGTGATTTTGTGTTAGGACCGTGTCCTTAATAAACTGGACAGATAGTGTTCAAATGTAGTTTTAGTTTCGAATGGTGTTGAAATTGTGTCCTCGTAGAATTTTTCACTGTAGTTGTACAGTATCCTGTTAATGAAACTAGGCCATTGTTGGTGTTAATAGGTAGTGTTTAAGTGTCGATTGGTGCAGAAACTGTATTTTAATTAATTTGGAACCAAAGAAAATAGGTAAATTAGGTATACATTTATATACAGTAAAACCCCTGATTAGCTGCAAGCCCACTCAGTGCAGACACTTTGTCCGTTATTCGGAGGTGCCTCCTATTCAGAAGAGAGGTAATAAAATTTGAACATCTGTACCCGTTCCCGAAAAATTATTCTATTATTGGAAGGTTTCACTGTACTTACGAAGGACTATGATAAGTGATAAGTCTATAAATCACTAACTGATGTCAATGGTATTGCATGGAAAATAAATTTTAACGATTTTCATCACTATTCATCACCAGTCTGGCAGTCTGAGCATCAAGCAACCACAGTCAGTGACACAAATAGGGGAAGAAAAATTAGATAGAAATTAAAAAAATTTGTTCCAACTGAAAATGTATTAAGGTAAACACTTGCCCATGGTGGCTTTGCCATCTCATTCCCCCACCAATTATTACATCAATATTTTAAATGGATCAATTCCTATAAATATGTATCACTTTTATCTAAGTGGTTAATATTTGAACACTGCATTATTAGAAAATATTATTGATATCAAATAGTATTCGTTATCAATTTTTGGAATAAAATAAAATTTGTTATCAAACTAATAACAATCTCAATTATGAGTTATTTAATACAGTGAATGAGTGAACCTTCTAAATCCCAGACACTCCAGGTTGCTGTAATATTGTCCTTTATTCGGAGGTCTCTTCTACTCGGATTTTTCGAAAATTGTAAATATTTTGTAAAGTTTGTAAAGTTAGCTCTCAAGAAAACGTCCACGATTGGGAGGAGTCCGTTAGGGGAGATTCCACTGTATAAACAAAAATAATAATATTTAGTATACTTTTAATACCGCATATCCGTGAGTTCTTTTGGAAAAGTATGGGAACATTGGGAAAGCTAATTAAAATAAAAAACTAGAATTTAGGAGCCAAGTCCCTGCCAACCCCCCTCCCCAAAATTTTAGCTCTGCTAATGAAGCAGCTAAAAAGCGCTTTACCACGAAAAAGGTAGGTAGGTACCTTTTATGTTTGGCTTAATTTACTAACACCGATCTACATAATATTAAAGTATCTACCCATAGGTAACCATATAACAATTAGGTTTATTAGAATGTAATTCGAAATGTGAATGTGTCTAAGTCACAATTAATATAATTTTTTTTTAATATATTTACTACCAGAGCTTCTAGACATAGTATTCAAACAATAATAAACTGATAACAGATCGTTTAATTTAATTATTTACTCAATACGGCGACAATACCTAATGATAAAATATTTATGAAATACTTATATGTATGTCTTGTAGGTAAGTATAATTTTTCAAGCTATAAAATTAATAAAAGTTTGTGATTAATAGGGCAGTGAAGTTATTTCATTAAATAACATACTAAATTGATTGCATTATTGCATTAAAATATATTAAAAATTGCACTTATAAATTTAAAAATTGCATTGAAAAATTTTTAAAAAATTGAATTATAATTAATAAAATTAAATATATTAATACATATTAATAATACAAATTAAATATTAATATTGCTTACATTATTGTATTGTACTACAAATGATTTTTATAAATTTTCAAAAACCAAAGGTCGTCTGTTATCGCACAACAAATTTTTGTACCGGGAGAAACTTCTTTCTACATCAGTAGTTGTTATTGGCGCGTACTTGAAATAGATTAAATCGTTGGTGGTCAATTCTTCTGGCAAGCCCTCCATTGACTGTATTTCTCCACTTAGAATTTTTGATGCACGAAAAATTATTTGATATCCTTCATTTTTTTGTAAAATAGTTTTGAATTTCCGGTTTATTAATATTCCATTTTGTCCCGTAATTTTTTCTATTTTACGTTTTTAACTATAGATAAAGCTTCGATTAATGGAACATGTTGTGTTTCGAGTTTAGTGATTTCTGCTAGTATGAAACCATAATTGGAATGAATGAATGCCAAGTTGGTTTCCATAGAACTATCCGACAAAAGATGTTGAGCTTGTTCAATAGAAATAGCATCATTTAAATTTAATAATTGTATTACTTTTTTTACTTCTACAAAATGTTCACAATAAAAGGACGTGGCATTTATCCATATCCCTCATCGGGTTATTATGGGCTGAGGAGGTAAACTAATACCTGGAGCTTCTTCTTTAAACAATAAAATACGGCTAGGAACCTTTAAAAATATTTGTTTTAAGCCCTTTTCACACGATGATAATTATGGTACTATATCCAGCATACTATCTAGTCTAGTATATTGCGTGTACTACCTAGTATACTAGTACCTGTATGTATTCTATTCACACCATAATGTGCTATGCACTATAAAATGTACTAGCTGCAAAATGATAACGAAATGTACGAAAATATCTCTATTCTACTATTCTGTATTTTTGTATATTATTTTATTCTACAATAAAAACCTAACTCTTTACATTTTATTTTTATAGACTTAGTATGGATTCTCGTGAAAAAATGTTAGTTATTGCTGCTAGTATTATTGGGCATAACATAATATTAATACACAAGTTATTAAAAGCACCAAAAAAAAGAAATTTGTGGGTGAAAGAATGGATTTCTCGTCGAGAAAAAGGTCTAGGTTCTTTTAGTATGCTACAAAACGAATTATTGTAAGTTAATAAATCCATATTTTAATAGATAAAATGTAGATACTTAACTAGATATATATTGTTTAAATATAAAAATAAATATAAAAAATAATATATATTATATTATTTAATATATAAATTAAAAAACATATTTTTTACTCTGTAGAATAGAAGATGAAAAATCATACATGAACTATTTGAGAATGGATTCGGATATGTTCAACGAAATTTTAATTAAAATAACTCCAGCTATTGCCCGAATGGATACTGTAATGAGACAATGTATAAAACCACCAGAAAGGTTATAACTTTATAATATTATACTTTATTTGACCTATTATTATTATATTTTAATATATCTAACTTATATCTGCTTTAGTTATACTATTAATATGATAGGCATAACTAGGGAAATTGAATTAGCAACACAGACCCTGATAATTTATATATCAATATTACAGATTAATGGCAACATTAAGGTTTATAGCTACTGGTGAAAGCTATACAAATCTTCATTACTCTACTCGTATTGCAACCAATACATTGAGCATCCTTATACCAGACACTTTGAATGCAATTTATGAAGCTTTTAAAGATGAAATTAAGGTGTTTATAAAAATTAAATCCATCAATATGAATTTAATTAATTTATTTATTTATATGGGTTAATGTTTAGCTTCCATCTACAACAGAAGAGTGGGATGTTATTGCAGATCAATTTGTTTCCTTTTGGAATTTCCCTCACTGCATAGGTGCTCTCGATGGGAAGCATATTAATTTCATACCTCCCCGTTCAAGTGGTTCATACTATAGAAACTATAAAGGGACAGATAGCATTATTCTGCTTGCTTTAGTTGATGCCAATCACAAATTTATTTGGATAAATGTAGGTTCTAATGGAAGAAACCATGATGCTGCTGTGTATAGAGAAAGTAACTTAGCGATAAGCTTATCAATTTTTGGAAAATTACTTCTAATGGTTTCAGCGACTCTATGTATACCGTGAGCCAGGCAAGTTATGTGCACTATTTTAGAATATAAAACTTTAATTGTAGAAGCTGCTTTGACCATATAAGGGGCCGAGTCGGATAAAAATAACTGTTTTTAGATGTTGTGTCACAATATATCGTCTATCGGCACATACTTGCACTTCACACATTTTACAAAAGAGAATACTGCCATCAGAAGAAAATAATATAGCGTCACCAAATTCTGATACGTAATTTTTTAAAATGGCTGATTTAATCGGTTTGACTTTTGGCATTTTAACGGACGAAATAGACACGACAAAGTATAACGAACGACTACAGTACGTGCCACAAAACTTGTCTGTCAGTGATAGACGATAATGTATTATGTTATTGAGGTACAAGTTTTTATCTTAACGACTAAAATGCGATAATCGCTCTATAGAAATAATAAGTAGGTATTACAACAAATATAGAAATTTGTTCACTGCTACGTTTAGTTACTTTTATTTTAAGTTATATAATCTTAAATGTAAACGAAAATTATGAAAAATAGTTAAAATTGCAGTAAAATTAAAAAAATCGCCAAAATTGCATTTATTGAAATATAATTTTTTTTTGTTTAAATTAAGAGTTTAACAAAACATATTTTAAGCTCACTCAGCAATAAATATAACCATTTAAAAAAAACATGCAAATGCTTCAACTTCACTGCCTTAGTGATTAAAGATATTGCCTATAATTTCCAAAAAAACGTAAGTATACAAAACATGAATAATTCCTATTAAATATTATTACACGGGTTAAAAAGCAACTACCGTGTGACCGCTACGCAATCAATAAGTCGTTTGACTCTTTTCTGGACGTTTTTAGAAACTCGGACAAAAGAGAAAAAACAAATATAATGAATAAACCCTATGATGTGTGTATATATAGGTACATAAGGGAAACCAACGGCGCATTACCGAAAGTATTATACTGTTTATAATAAAAGTGCCTAAATAGGTACCTCTCAACCGGTCCTCTGGACGGTTCTCGGAAATAAATGATTATAATAATAGTAAATTATAAAAAATAAAGTTCGAGAATACCGGCCACGGTTTATTGAAAATATATTAATAAAAGGGGACATTACAGACCAAAAATACAGCAGCCCGATTGGAGAAACGGCAAACGAGGCTCTACTCCTCCAGCAGCATCAATGGGCTACAGCGGGGTGCCCAGTCCGGGCCTCCCTGTTTTCAAATAGTTACCAAAAAATAAATAATGCGTACCTATATAAAGGAAAAAAATGTATAACCTGTCCTGCGTTTTTATCCTTGGCACGCCTCTGTCAACAGAGACAGTAGGAGTAAGACAAAGAGAAAATTGCGGAGATTATTTAAATTAATAGACCAATATCCCCGATGCACACCGCGGTATTCGTTGAGTGTTCCTCGGACCATGGAGAGAACAGCAGGGGCGGCTCCGGACTAGTCCGGAGACATGGTTGAGGGGGGTCTAAGTCATGATTATCAGAAAACTTTCGGTATTATGATATGTTTCTTTTTAATAGTATATATAATTTTAAATCATTTTGAATTATTTAATTTTAAATTTAAATAATTTTGTATGAAAGCGTACCTATTTTATACAGACATCGTGTTTAGTAATTAAGCGCCTTTTAATAGTGTATAAACACTATAAGCTGATTTTTAAATAAAAATAAAAATGTATTTGTTCCTTGACATCAAAAAGGTGACCGACCCCCGATTTAAAGGAACATTTTTAGCAAAAAGGCTACAAATATTTGTCAACTCTAAAAATAAATAGTTATTAATTTATTTTATTTAAAAACAAGTGATTACTTTTGCAAATATGGAATTAAATAATTTTTTTAATTAATGACATAATTTATACGCTCTCTTTCAGTATTCAATATTCATAGTTTTGAACTCATCAATTACTTTTTCTATCAGAATGTCAGTTACATTTTCTTGTTCTATACCAACAATAATAAAAGGGATTCCAGTCTTTCTCACAACGCTGTAGATAGGTAGGTAAGTTTTGGTTTTTACGATAGTTAATCTAAAAAACTACCGTTTGACAGTTTCAGTTTGTGACAGCCGACCGGTATAGTAGCAAAATGTATTAAAACCTTTTTAAAATGTAGAAAAACGTTTTCTCTTTGATTTTCTTTTAAAAAATCTAGGTGTTAATTGTAAACTGATTTTGTTGATGAACCATTTGGAACAAAATTTAAAGATGAAGTACAAACTGTTTGAGTTTAACAATACCTGTACAACTAACTGTTCATCTATCTTTATCGATTTATACTACCATAAATTGTGGTATGTTATTCACCATTTTAATGAAGCATATTTTGCACTATAGTCCACAGGATAAATGATAGTGTCAAGACTACGAACTTATGCTGGGTTGTATGAACAATCACTAAACATTTATTGAATCAATAGTGAGCTAATATAGTCCCTTCAGTGGCGGTAAAATGATTTTGTCAAAGGGGGGGGGATGATATAGCTGATTTTTTAACATGCACTAGTTGACTATTAAAAATATAATTTATGGTTATCAGCTCTAAAAACATTGAAAAAGGTCATAGGGGGATCTATATGAGCCCCCTCTCCCCTTCCCGTTAGACCACCACTGGATCTATTAAACATGTGTTGCAACCGTGTGCACGACCCCGAAATGTTTTTAAACAATATTATTTCTTAACTTACTACTATAGGTAAAATATAATTTTAGATTGGTTTTAAATATTATTATTTTATATAAACTATTTCACCATATTGACATTCCTACATTTTATATTAACTACTTACCTATCCTTGTCGTATCCGCCGGTTGTATGCGTTATTTTTTGATTTATTTTAACAGTTTTCAATTTTAGTGTTTGATGGTTTAAAATTTTAAATATATTATCTTGGAACATAATATTATAATATTCAAGTAGGTACGTAGGTATAATAGCGTTAATACTGCAGGTTTAGACTCTAAACAGTTTAAACTATAAACGACTAACGAATCTTGCTAAAAATACCTATATGTCTAATCTAGTTTTTAGTCGTTCATTCTCTAACAAGTAATAATTGATTTATACACTTGACGATACCAAAAAAAGAAGAAACAATTATTTGAAAATAAAATATTCTTATTAAATAAACAAAAATGTATGAAAAAGGGGAAAATAATTTTGAAAAATGGAAACAATTTGTTTGAAAAAATTTTCCACTTGACTTCACTTGTCCATCTGTTTTTGTATCGATTGATGTTATGAAATCTGTACAAGTTTCAAAACAATTAAAAGCTAGATAATATTAACAAATCCTTGGAGTGTTCTCTCTTAGCTACTTATGAAAAATATGAAAAAACGAAACATTAAAATAGGTAGGTATTAAATTCTCCCATAAAAATGTTACCTACCTACTTAATGATTAGTATTTTTATTGAACTACAGTATATTACAAATTAATACCTACCTATGCACTGTATGTACCAACAGTGTTTTAATATCATAAATATTGAAATTCAACATATAACTTAAAAGTATAACTTCATAAGACATAGGTAGATAAGTGTTTTACTGTTTTTTATTTCGTATCCTGAAGTATAATATTTTTATGAATATATTGGCTATTGGCTATTAAAATAAAATGTTTTTTGTCCATACACATTACACATATTATTGGATTGGTTTATTTAAAAAGAGTAAAGTTGCAATAGGACAACTAGGTACCTACTCAATAAAATATATGGTGCTGTTGCATTACTTTTCCACTAACCTAACCAAATAAGTTTTAACAATAGCTTATCTCTTGAACAGTTAAACTTTGATAAAAGTACACAATTACTAGTGATAGTTTTAAGCTTTGGCATAAACTACCACCACAATTACACCACATCCCATTACAGTTCCAAAAATGGTAAAAACTATAAGTACAATACAAAATTAAAGGAAGCAGTTTAAGAGTTGGGCTGTAATTTGCTATTCATATTTTGATAAGTACATCCAACAGATGCTGAACAGGTGGAACTAATAACAACTAAGCATTTAAACAAGATTTTTTTTAAAAACATGTTTTGCGTATCAATTAAGAAGTACCTTCATTTTTCATCTTCTGATAATCCATAAAACTTTCTATGCCCCTACTAAGTCTACATAAGCATTACCTGGGTACTTTCTTGGTTCGAACCGCTGCAATTAGGTTCAAAAAGATTGCAATTAACCCAACAGTCAAAGTTCACACATTTTAGACCAATTTGTGAAATTTTAGTTATGGTTGTTCTTCACAATTAGAATTTTCATGTAATAACCATACAATTTACCATCTAAAAATGATATTTTTATCATTAATAAACCTCTGACAACCAAATAAAAACAGTCTATTAATACTGATGAATTATAAAATAAAATAATAAAATAGTATATTTCTATGTGCAGAACAAATCGCTGAGAAATCCACAGAAACAAAACCAACATAAAAAAAAATTCTCACTTAATTTAACAACTTGCCAGCTGTGTGGTATTATAGATGTATAATCACATAGTAAATTCATTAAAAAGTTAAGACATTCTAATTTTTAAAATAAAAATAATAACTCATTTAGTTACCAGTTATGCATAAAGATAATGATGTTGATTTAGAATACAGTACTTGCATGTGTTTATATTTTGTAGATATACATTTGTAAACACAGTATAAAGTTAACTACATTAAATTATATCTGATACAAAAAAAAAAAAATAGTAGGTACCATAAATTACCACTATAATTCTTGTTAGTATTTAAAGTTGAGAAAAAATAATTTAACACAACAGTCTATTATTTATAACTCCACTACAATTTTATTTCATACACATATAAAAAAACACAATTTTACTTAAAACTAAAAAATAACAAATCATTACTAATAACTTACTGTACAATCACAATACAATAATTGTTGAAGGCTACACTTAATTTATAAAGTTGGTTTTCTACCTTTAAGATAAAACACCACATTAAGCCCATAGTTTATTAGTTAAATAGTAGGATTTTTTTTCTTAACCTTTTATATAAAATTAATCACAATTTTTCAATAATGTAATTTTTCTATGTCTGTCTACATTGGAAGACTTAATCATTAAAAAATTATATTATAACAAATGAAAACAATTACATTATTTTTTATTTTATTGAAAAATAAATGTATTTAGATCAGATCAAACAATTATGATAAACATATAATTTTTTACAATATTTTTTATTTTTATAATATTTATTACAAATTACACTTATTGAACTTGTGACATGATATTTTGGGTACTATAACGATCTATTACAATCACAATAATTACAACAGACTAAAAGTTTATTTGGAAAAGCACTTTTATTAAGTGCATAAGAAATTCAATAAAAAAATATCAAAAATGTAATTGTTAATTTGATCTTATTTTTATTAGAGTAGTAAAAAAATTAAGATACTTTAGGCGCTGATTTGAAATATTTGAACTATGTTTTCTGTAAACAAAAATTATAATTTTAATAATTATAGACATTACTTGGTTTTTTATAGTTACATAAACCAAACATTCTTTGCTAATATGAATACAACAAATGTAAACTTTTTAAATAACATGTCCATCCACATAAATACTAATAAAATAGTAAACATATTATAAAAAATGGAATGATTTTACAGAATATTGTTACCAAATCAATTATCATGAGAAATAATGCAAATTTTTCCTAACTAAAATAATTACAATAAAAAAAAAGGTTGGTAATAGTTTACTATTGTATATTGAGTTGAGCAATCAATTAATATTATTAAATATTCTACTCTACATCAATCCAATAATTAAACAATGCATTTTTTTTCTAAATAACAAAATATAAACAAAACACAAAAGTGTAAAACAATATCAGATCTATTTTATACTATATAAAAAGAACATGATGTTTAACTTTTTAACGAGTGAATTCAACACTATTGACATAATATAATAATAATTTACAATAATTAAAAAAAAACTTAAATTATTGAAATAATCTTATTACTTCAATATTTAACTCATTTATTATTTTGATTTTTGTTAGAAACATTTTAGTTTATATTTTTTGTAAATGTGTTGATAATATAATTTGGAGGAATGTCAAAAAAATGAAATTTTATGCACATTTTAAAATCTCTAAATAAAAAAAAAAAATTTTCCTACAACAATTAATTAATCAAAAATATGAATTTTACGTAAATAAATGAATGTATGTAGTATACAATAATACCTAATAAATAATTTTTATAAAATGTTTACAAATTTAGAGAACATATGGTGCATGACGAATGCTGATCACACGTTGAATCATGGTGGACGGGTGGCACTGGGTTATTGGATGGATAACGTTGAGGACTGAAAAAATCAGTTGATGTCATCATGGAAGTAAACCAACCGTGATTTACAGCTGGTTGTCTGTTAAACATTGTGGAAACAACAGGTGATGTCTGTGATTGAAAATAGGAGCTGCCGGAGTTTCTATTAATGTCTGCGGATAATGGCGAGCAACGTTGGCGTGCATTGACACCACGTACTTTAGACCTCGCCCCGCCAACAGCAGCTCCCGACTCTACTCACATAACCTGTTACAAAAGCAAATTATACATTTCAAAATACAATTAAGTATAAGTTTGTTTGAATTATTTTAAATACCTGTAGAATTATAGTGCCTTCATATGTGTTATTTGGATTCAATGTGATCGGAGTGATCACTATGCCAGCTTCAACACATATCATGTTAGGATATTCGTCTTCACCAAAGTCACTCATTGTACTTGATGTCACATCCCATGGATTCCATACAACTAAAAATATCATTACATAATTGCATAAAATATAAATAATAGAAATTAAAAATAATTCCATTTACCTGTATCTGGCATATTGTATTTAATCATTTTCATTTTTCTTCCAGACACAACATTTGAAATCACATGTTCCTGTTGTGTATTTTGATAGATTCTATCGGTCCAATGATTAACAGTCACCATTTCTCTCGGTTCTTGGTACACACCATTTTCCTTGGTCTAATTATTGTCAACAAATGAATAATTAATAGCCTATCACTAATTAGTAAATATATTTATTTTTAACTGCTATTAAATATTAACGAAACCAGTCCATACCTTGTCTACATACATGCATCCTTGAAGACCAGATATATTACATTTTCGGACATCTGGTACTTTTAGATATGTATGGAAAAGCATGTTAAATTGAAATGGTTCTAGAGATGAGTTGTATAAATTGAAGCTGACTTGTAATTCTTTTTCTCTCAATATCACTCTTAACACTAATTTGAAACTAAAAACAAGTTTAGCATATATTTTTAGATGCAAATCAAAATATTTACCTATAATTCCACATTTGTTTTGTAATAGAATTGTCGACTAATGAAAATAGTGCTTCAATGTCACCATTTTCTAATGGTTCAGGTTGTTTTTCAACATTCCATCTGCATGTCATGGCAAACCCATGAAGAGGTCCATAAGCCCAGGGTCCAAAATGAGCTGTTTAAAAAACAAAAACAAAAATTTTTTTAATTTAAAATTGATTTAAACCTAATTTGTAAGTCTAGTGTACAATATATTACTAAACATCTTGTTGGTAAAATTTAAAAATTATCAATACTTCTAAAAAATACAAAAACATGTCAAAAATACAGTCAGAAATACATTATAATTTTATATTCTGAGTGGAGTGACTTGTTTTACAACAACATAATTACTATGAAAATTCTCTAAAAGTTTTATCATTCTTTTCAAATTTTTAATAATAACACCATAATCTTGTCTGAACTTGTTCCAAGGTGAGTAAATTAGATAATCAATAACACCTGGTTTCAATTTTGTGTACAGGTTTTTTTTTTTTAAATGTTTGGTTATTGTAAATCACTCATAACTGACTGAAAATGTATTACCTGTGGCACCAAGATGATTTTCACTCTCCAGTAAATAACATCAACTATAAATTAGTCAACTTAACCATATTGGTACCTGTACATATTAATTACTTTGTTGACCACTGATAATACTTTGTTATTGCTTTAAGGACTTTAAGGAGTATTAGATAATTTACTATAATTAAATTAAATAATTAGGTAATAAATAATACAAATAAAATAATAGCCCTGTCACCAATCTCCACATAACATACCTAAGCCACCATATATTTATTATAAATGTTAACAAAATCAATTTATAATTTTTCCAGTTATAAACATGCTTACACAGAGTTGTATTCAATAATTTAACATTTTGAGTAAATTTATTTTGTCTATTAATTTGTACTTGTTTAATAACATTGTCATATAGATTTTTAAAATTTATTTAGGATGACTATATTAATAATTTTATTGTTAATAGTAATGTTTTCATTGCAAAGAAAATGATAAGAATTTTAATTCTTCAACAATATTTTTCATTTATTTATCATCAAGCAATATATGAACATCTGAAAATACTTACGAAAAACTATCGGAATGCCTCCTCGGATCGATTTCTGACCATCAAAAACAGCCAGTTTACTAAACATAAATACAATAAATAATCAATATTTTATCATATTTATAAAAATTAATTATTAACTATTATAAAACATTCTTCTCACAGAAGGAAATTTAAGTATATTGTAAGGTATATTATTGTTGTCATTTTAGATTCTAACAATGAATTTATTGATATTACACTGATGTACCTATCTTATTGGCTTTTTGTCTGTGTCTGTGTGTAAAACACTTTGTGTATTAAAAAAAATGCTTGAATCTTCAACTTAGAGGGTAGTTTCTGGGAGCAAATTAGATCTAGTTGATACTTATTAGGCATCAAGAGTAAAAAAACAACCAGTAGGTACTTTTCAAAATAACTGTATAATAAAATAGTTAAAGCTTAAATTAAAATAATATTATTGTGCTGGAGTGTTTTAAAATTTTAAACAAATTAGTGCTTTTTGAATAGTTTTGTTTATAATAATATGTTCATGAATCATGAAACTAAACAATAAGTAATTGCTTTTCAAAGTTTATAGTAAAATATATAGTATAATTCTCCATTATTAAGTACCTATTGGTATGAAAGTATATTACTTATTAACAGTTTGATTATAACTCTCTTCAAAATTGATATTGAATTCTACCTCTGTATAATATATGCACACAACTAATTTTTAAATACTTTCAAAGTTTCAATAGTTTAAATGTTAATGAAATTATATCTTGGAACTTGTATATTTTGAATACATACACAAAGTGTTATACAACTAATAATGTAATTTTTTTTTAATCTTATATTTTATACCATATGTACTTGTTTATGTTCATTACATATTTAAGTTAATTTTGCTTAGTTTTATTACACTTATGTAATTAAACATATCCTAGTATTTATTATTGATATTAGCTGAAAGTTTAAACCCATCAAACGACACTCTACCAACTCATAATATCTATTTAAAACAAAAAAAAGGAATAGTCACTTTGCTATATAATATATAGTAGGTTGACAAGTGTACCTCATAAATGAGCCGGTCATTTTTAATAAGCAGCTCTGTCTCTCGGCCTATATTTCTATCTAATTAAATATTTATAAACTAGTAGTAATAAGATAAATTGCAATTCAATTCAAAATAATCATATAAGATATAATTATAAAATATTATAATACTTAATAATTAATAATATAATAAATTTTATGAAAAAATGTACACAGAAGCCAAACGACGGTCGAAGCTTCAGAAATTTGGAATAATATACAACTTATACATGAGCAACCTAATACAAGTTCAATTTTTACTGCAAGATCATACGCGATCTTTAAAAGCTACAATTAGTTAGACTCAAATATTCAAAAAGCAACAATTTTCTTATATTCTCTTTAGTGCGATAAGCAAAATGCGTACAACACTAATAAGATAAACATACTGGTACAAAGTCTGTTACAATACGGAAGAGAAAAAGGTGAAATATCATTCAGTTGTGCTGGATACTAGGTCATTCTAATATCATAGAAAATAAGATGGCTGATAAGGCAGCGAAAATGCAATACCTAACCCATTAGTAACATTAGTTTAACTTGCAACGAAAAAACATAATACGCTCCTCCTAATCAAACTTCATTTTACCAATACGCAGCAGGTTAACTGGAAATCCTTTTGCACGGAACTTCATGAAATGGAAAAAGACATCTTCATACGACCACTTGCCCTCTTCCCACATACCTTCCTAGAAAGTTCAAAGTCACCCCAATCAGACCCCGGATCGGGCACACGTAAATCACTTAAGGACACCTAATAAGTAAAAATTACCCCCACTATGCCCATCGTGCGGTACTTTTTTCTCGATCAAACATTAGTGTTAATGTCATACATAAATCGAACACAAAACGAACGCAACACTTCCAGAACATCCATCAGAATTTCCCGGCCACAACATATCCTCACTAGCAGCCATCATTGGTTTCATCAAAAAAGCGAATCTTCAAAACAAACTGTAAATTATAAAAAGTGGATGTCACTCTGTTGTACATTAGGTGTCTAGAAGGTTGCTGTAATGATTGTATTAAATTTGAATTCAATGATATCATATCATTGTATAAGAAAAACGATTCTGAGCGGAGACGGTATATGGTCAGTCTAGGATATTTTATATCGTTATTACTTATTATTAAATTATCAGTGGTGCCAGAAAAATATTAAATATACGTATATAAAATTGGGAGATTTAGGAATCGAATAACAACAAAATGACAAAAGTCGTTATTCTTTGTGTTAATATAATAATATGTAATTTTTTCCAAATTTGAACTTAAAATATCTGTAAAGATAACTGTGTTCATATATTTTTTAGATTTTTTAGTTATGGAAAAAAAACTGCTTAAGTGAAACCACCTTGTTTTAATTTTTCAATCCTTAGCTATAAAAGTTGAAAATTTTTTAAATTTTTAACTACAATATTATTTTTCAATTTTATATTTGATATGTGTTGTCAAAATTTAAACTTTAAATGCTTATAAAAAAAAATCATGGCAATGTAATTCTAATATTTTCAACTGCTATTGTAGCAATATATCAAGAGTCATGTATTAAATTTGCACGGATTTTGACTCAACCTATACAATGTTATTGACAATTTATAATTAATAAATAATTAATATAATGTTATTTATATACAATGTTATTTACAGAAAAAAACAAAATTGAAAATGTCCGTCAACAGCTTAAAGAGAGTAAAAATATTTTGAAAATTGTATCAATAATATCAATTAATGAAATAAACATATGGCGTAAATTTCAAATATCTACAGTCATTCGTTTTTGAATTAAAACAAAATAAGTAAATCACTACATCAGAAATCGAGTACATATCCAATGTTGTACAAATTAAAACTAGGTAAATGCTCATAAAAATTTAATTTGACTTTCCAGTAGAATTTTTTTTCTTTTGATAAAGGTAGGCAAACTTATAAGAAATCTAGTACTAAATTTTTAAATCTTAGATAAAAATTATGTATTTCTAACTCAAAATAATTAGCTAATTTTAGTGATCTTTAAGAATTTTGTCAAAATTCTGAATTCAAACGCTCATACAACAGTTAACAAATAACCAGTTTTTTTTGTTTCAATAACAAAATTAATTTTTTGTTTTTTATGTAACTTGAAAACAAATAACTGTAGGCACTTTTTTTATACATAAATTGAATAATGATTCCTCAAAACATCGTATACCAATTGAAAAATACCAAAAAAATATTGTCACGATATTTTTTTACGAGCACAGTTTAAAGTTAAAATTTTTACAAAAGTGGTTAAAATCACAATAATTTTCAAACATTCTGAGTTAAGAATTCATAAAGATCGGTCTTTTTATATCTAAGTTTTGAAAATGTAATACAAGATAAGTCACACGTTTTTCTATACCTTTCAAAGATAAAAATGTTTACCAGAAAATCATATTCATTTTTTTATGAGTGTTTAAAGTTAATTTTTTACGACATTGGATATTCAAACACATTAATTCCTAGAAATAAACGAATTTTCACCAAATGTTTATATTAGCATTTCCGCGCATGGTATAGTTTTTTAAAATATGTTGACTTTTTTTAGCTACTTATAGTCATTTTCTATTTTAAATTTTTTAAATGATTTTTCTACAAATATCGATTTAAAAAATGTCTGGTTCAAAAATTTTGAAAATGTGTTACAATTGATTCCTCGTACTTATATCATTTGATTCTCAGCATTAAATAAATACATATTTTAATCGATTTTTTTTGTTTTTGTTCTTAAGCTATTAGGTACACTTAATAATTATATTACCTATATAGTTCATTGCTTACCACAGAGTGTACAGTTACTACAACGAAACCACTAAAGTTGAAGACTAAAAATGGGAAAATTCACTAATGTTGGGTAATTTAGACAATTGTACTCAAACTGCTGAAAAATTATAAAAACAAACTTTCTTCAATGCTCTATATCATATATTTGCCCAGTTTACAAATGACAATCTATAGGTCTATATAGACTAGGCAAATCGGCTATGTGAATCTTCTGGTACAATATTTTCATAATTAAAATTCAACATAGATATTTTATAATTGGTTCAAAATTGCCACTTATAGACTCAAAACAATACCCAACAAAATAGATAAAAGTATTCAAACTCTGTCCATTTGTTCCAAATGTCTAAAATAAGTTCAAATTAAGTTTGAGCTAATATAATGATTAATTACAAAAATTAGTACAAATATTGATAGGTATTCAAGAGGAACAACTATGGGTATTTCTTATATAAGAAAAATAGTTTCTTTTTAAATATACTTAGATTTTTTCATACATGTAAAAATAATTTAGGAAATGTAAAATAATATTATATTACTACTAGAAGAATTTTTGTTGTAACAATTTATTTTTATTAAAATAATAAATATAAGATTTTAGGGGAATATACACTTGGTATACGCCAGCAGTAGTGGTTACATACTCAGTCATGGTATAACAAGATTACTTATGATGTACATGCAAGTAATAGTAGCAGTAGTTAACCGTATTTGTTCCATACGAGTGCATAGCTTAAACAATTATATTACATTATGTATAAATATACAGCATATATAGTGCATAGTGTATAGTGTAATAGTGTATACTAAATAATATAGCAGATTATATTGAAAATATTGTTCTCGTGGACGTGCAGCAATATTACATATAAATTCTGTAACTCTACTGTAAGCATGTGTGTGATATATACAGACATATATATAATATGTGCACGCGCAATATTTTTTTTTGCATCTGTCCTCGAACCTTAAGGGTGTCGGTCAAAAGAAGAGTTAACCCTGCAAGTCCACCCAGCCCTCCTATATATACGTAGCATCCCTTTCATTTCCTCAGCGTGTGCCTTGACAAATGAGCGTTCGAGACAAAAACCGTCGAACGGCGGAGACCCTTCCCCTTCCTCCCTGCCTACATCCCCTCAGCGTTCTCGGCCTTTGCGCCCTCACGCGCGCTTTTCTTCATACTACACACGAT